TCCTCCTCTCCTCTCCTTCTTGCTCCGTCTTTCTCTCCTCCGCTCCTCCTCTCCTTCCACCTCCTCTCCTGCTCCCTCCTCTCCTGTTCTCAGGGAGGAGCCTGTAAGCTAAGCTGGTGGATGTCAGTACTCCGGGAAAATGGCCAGGTTCAAAAAAAAGAAGGAAAAAAAAAAAGATAAAAAGAAAAGAATAAAAAGAAGAAAAAGAAACAAAACAAAAAAAAGAAGCCCAGGTGGCAGGTTTGCTGTTTGTTAGGATAAAGTTATTGCAAGTGGGCCGTTGACCTGCGGGATGAAAGGGGCTTTTTTTTTTTTTTTTTTTTTTTTGAGCAAAGAGGCTTCTGTTTGCAATCGTGGTTGTTTCCTTTGCTGCCCCAAATTGCTGGTAAAAAAAAAATGTGTTGGAGACATTTCTTTCCTGGAATCCTTTGCATGTGCACCCTGTCGCCGTAGACAATAAGGAAGGATGAGGAGGAAGAGGTGGAGAAAGAGGTGGAGAAAGAGGTGGGGAGGAGGTGTAGGAGGAAGAGGGGGTTCCAAACAGGGGGAGAAACTGTGCGAGGAATGAGAGGAAATGGAGTGAGAGGAGCAGGGGTGGAATCGGCAGAGGATGTGCAGACTTTAAGAGCAGGGATCTGCGTGCACGTGCGATCTGTTGCCGTGGAAGGTAAGGATGAGGAGGAAGAGGCGGAGGAGGGGGTGGAGTAGGAAGAGGGGTCCAAACTTGGGGGTGTATGTCCGGAACAAGAGGGATGGAGCCAGAGGAGCAGGGGTGGAATCAGTAGGACGGTGTGCAGAGTTTAAGAGCGTAGGGATCTGTTGCCGTGGACAATGAGGAAGAAGAGGTAGAGGAGGAGGTGGAGGATGAAGAGGGGTCCAAGTGACGGGGGGAAGGGGGGGGCGAGCGGGGGGGAGGGATCAGCAGGAGGWTGTGCGGACTTTATGAGCAGAGATCTGTCGCCGGGGACAATAAGGATGAGGAGGAGGAGGAAGAGGGTTTCAACTGGGTGGGAGCAAGAGGGATGAAGAGAGAGGAGCAGGGATGGAATCGCCAGAAGAATGTGCAGACTCTAAGAGCAGGGATGAGAGGCGGTTAATGGAAGGCCCAAAATTCGGCAAATTTTTAGCGAAATTTTCACCGAAACTGCCGTATATCTGTATTCAGTTTCGCCGTATTTGGACAAGTTACAAAAATTTTGGCAAAAACAGCAGACTCGAAGACAGATTCAGTGAACTCCGAAAGCTACTCTGAATAGGGTTTTGCTTGATCGTTTTTGTAATGTTTGTATTATGACCCTGCATAGTTTGTTCGCAAAAGTTTCAAGAACATTGGTTGTAGTCATGCGGCGAAAACCCCCGAATTTTGGGCCTCCCATTAACCGCTACTGGCAGGGATTGGTCGCAATGAACAACGAGGATGCGGAGGAGGAGGTGGAGGTGGAGGTGCAGGAGGGGGTTGAGGAGGAAGAAGGGTGCAAATGGGGGGGGAACAATGCCAGGAGCAAGAGCACTGAAGTGAGAGGAGCAGGGGTAGAATCAGTAGGAGGATGGACAGGCTTTAGGAACAGGGGCTGCGCCAGCAACAGTAGTAGTTCCAACTTAGGGGGGAGCATAGGGGGAGGAGATGGTCAATAGGATTGGGAGGCTGCTGTCTTCCCCCGAATAGTACGTACATCGTACGGTCATTATTACTGTATTTTTTGGGGGCAGTTGTCAGTCTAGAAATGGCAATAATGACCGTATCTTCTATTGGGCGGAATATGGTAGTGCCAGCACCTGGTCTAACCAGTGGAGCAGTGCAAGAACAGCAGCAGTAGCAGCAGCAGGAGCAGCAGCAGGAGCAGCAGGAACAAAGTAAATTGGAACATCTGACCAGTGCAGACAGAGGAGGAATGGAACAAGTGGAAAGTGGAGCACGAGCGCGGCTGATCGGTGCGGACGTATCTTGTGATGGCGACGGCCAGGAGGAAGGTTGGCACAAGGAACATCACAAGAAGGAAAGCATAGGGAGCAGATACGTCCGCACTGACCTGTGAACAGGTGCAGGAGAAGGTGGAAGAGGTGGTGGTGGGAGCAGATACGTCCGCACCGACCTGTGAACAGGTGCAGGAGAAGGTGGAAGAGGTGTTGGTGGGGCAGGGGCATAAGGAAGAGGAGGAAGAGGAGGAGGAGGAGGAGGAGGAGGAGGAGGAGGCAAGAGTGCAGCAAGAAGAAAAGGCTGGAATCAGAGGAGGATGAACAGGAGTGGGGACTGCAGCACTAAGAGGAAAAGCAATGACATGTAGGAGGAATAGAAGGAGGAGGAGGAGGAGGAGGAGGAGGAGGGACAGCAGCACGAAAAGCACGGAACTGAAGTAGGATCCACAGCAGTAGCCGGGAAGGCACCAGCAAGTGGAAGCAGATGCACATGTAAGAGGAAAAGGGTGATGATCACCAGGAGCTGGGGTGGCACAACACGTGGACCACTTAGAGAATTATTGCTGCAAACAGAAGTAAGCTGCAGCAGAAGTGGAAGAAGGAACAGAGGGAGGTGGTGGAGAAGAAAGAGGAGGAAGAGGAGTAGGAGAGGAGGATGATGAGGCTGGAGTAAGAGAGTGGGAGGAGGCAAATGTATCTGGCCCATAATTTATCGAATGTCGAGTAGCGGAGCAAGGCCCTATGACTCATGTTTTCAGAGCAGAGTGCAGAGTGCTGAGTGCAGTGAGTTCAACGAAGCTTATCGTTTTTTTTTTTTTTTTTTTTTTTTGTAAGACAACCCTCTTTTCAAACAACTTAGGGAGTAAATCCACTCAGGTCCTTGACCCCCTACTATAGTGCCCTCTTTTCAAACAACCCTCTCTTTTTTTTTTCCCCCCCAAACAACCCTCTTTTCAAACAACTTAGGGAGTAAATCCACTCAGATCCAAAACAAAAAAAAGAAAGAAAACAAAAAAAGGAAAGAAAACAAAAAAAAGAAAGAAAACAAAAACACATACACCGTGAACCTGAAACTGGCCACAATAGTAGTTAGATACGTTCTTGTGTGAGCACAACTTGGTGCATGGCGTTCCTCGACATGGTCTTTTGTTTTTCTTTTTGCTTTTCCAACGGGCCCAGAAGGCCAAACTGCTGAGCCTCGTCCAACCCCCGAAAAGTTTGGAGTTTTCCCAGGAGTGAGCGAGGTAGTAGTGGTTAAAAATAAATAAATAAAAAAAATCCACTCAGGTGCTCGGAAGCAACCGCGACGCGTTTCAGCAGCCATGATCATATCAGATTCTGCAGGGAGATCCACTTTACCAGCCTCCTTTTTTTTTTTTTTTTTTTTTTTTTCCTCCCGGGAGTAAAGCATATTTTTTGTTCGATTTGAGATGGTTTCCTAATTTCGCCAACTTTTTTTTTAGAGTTGCATTTTTTCAATCTGGGTTTACGGTTTACTCCTTGTGCTCTGAAAAGAAGCAGTCCAAAGGTAGGGTCGTTCTTGTACAAGAGGGACCCCGCCTGACCTGAATATTTCTTGCAATCTAACCCCTCCTCCCCCCCTTCACCCCCCCCTCTCAAATTTAACCAAATGGTTATTCCACTAGGACTCTCATCCCTCATCTTATGGGTCTCATCACCAACCGGTACGCTTGCTTTCCCCAGTGGGAAAAAAAAAGGTCCAGATGATTGTCCCGACTTAGAGGTCTGGGAGACCCACCGACTTTTTTTTTTTTTTTTTTTTTATGGGGTGATCACAACTGTCTATATTCTTCTCTCAACTTCTGTTTGTTTACCTTCCACTACCTACTCCTAAGACTATCTTGAGGGGACCCCTGCAATCCCCCCTTCACAGAGACCCACCGACTTTGACTCTTGCCTGACCTCTCTTTTTATTTTTTTATTTTTTTCTTTCTAACCAAACACCATCCAGGTCTTTCCCCGGGGACATTGTGCCAGATCATTCCCCAGAGCTATCGTAAATGGAGAGAGCGGGCCTGAT